GAAAAGACAGAAGGATAAGAAAGCCATCATAATGATAAGGGAGGGAGGGAGGGAGGAAGAAAGAGGGAAGGGAAACGGAAGGAAAGCCATAAGGATAAGAAATGAAGAAAATAGGGAGAGAGGGAAGGAGAAAATGAGGAAGGGAGGAATGAAGAGGGAAGGAAAAGGGAAGAAAAGGAAGGAAGGAAGGAAGGCAGAAAAGAGAGGAGAAAGCCATCATAATCATGAGGGAGGGAGGGAGGGAGGGAGGGAGGGAGGGAGGGAGGGAAGAAGGAAGGAAGAAGGAAGGAGGAAGGAAGGAAGGAAGGAGGAGGAAGGAAGGAAGGAAGGAGGAAGGAAATGGAATGAAAGAAGGAGGGAAGGAAAAGGGAATGAAAGGAAAGAAAGGAAGAAAAGACAGAAAGAAGAGAAAGCCATCATAATGATAAGGGAGGGAGGGAGGAGAAAACAAGGAAGGGAGGAAGAAGGAGGGAAGGGAAACGGAAGAAAAGCAGGGGAAGGAAGGAGAAAAGGAAAAAAGGAAGGAGGGGAGGAAGGAAGGAAGGAAGGAAGGAAGGAAGGAAGGAAGGAAGGAAGGAAGGAAAGAGGAAGGAAGGAAGGAAGGAAGGAAGTAAAAAAAGAGGGAAGGAAGAGAGGAAAGAATGGAGAGAAGGAAGGAGAAATCCATAATAATAGAGGAGGGAGGGAGGAACGGAGAAATGGAAGAAAGAAAACTATCATCGCAACAAGGAGGAGGAGAACGAGGAAACAATGACACACCCCACTCCCCACTCAGAGGCCTTCCCCACACTTCATGTTTCCCTCCTTCCCTCTTTTCTTCCTCTTCCCCTCTTCCTTTTCTTCTACTTTCTTCCCTCCTTTTTCTCCTTCATTCCTCTCCTTTCCTTCCTTCTTTCTTTCCTCATTATGATAATGAATTTCTTCTTCCTTTCTTCCTTCCTTCCTTCCTTCCTTCCTTCCTTCCTTCCTTCCTTCATTCCTTCCTTCCTCTCTCCTCCCTCTTTCCTACATATTTCCCTCTTTTTCTCCTTCCTTCCCCTCCTGCCCTTCCTTCCTTCCTTCCTCCTTCCTGTGTTTAGTCCTTCCTTCCTTCTTTGTTATGATTATGGTTTTCTCCTTCCTTCCTTCCCACTTAATTTTTCCTCACTCCTTCCCTTAGTATGTTTTTTTCTTCCCTTTCTTCCTTATTATTATTCTACTTCCTTGCTTGCTTGCTTCCTCTCTCCTCCCTCTTTCCTTCTTACTTCCCTCTTTTTCTCCTTTCCTCCCCTCCTGCCCTTTCTTCCTTCCTTCTTCCTTCCTGTGTTTAGTCCTTCCTTCCTTGTTATTATTATGGTTTTCTCCTTCCTTCCTTCCTTCCTTCCTTCCTTCCTTCCTTCCTTCCTTCCTTCCTTCCTTCCCACTTAATGTTTTCCTCACTCCTTCCCTTATTATGTTTTCTCCTTCCTTCCTTCCTTCCTTCCTTCCTTCCCTCCTTCCTTCCTTCCTTCTTTCTTTCCTTCCTCCTTCCCTTTCTTCCTTATTATTATTCTATTTCCTTCCTTGCTTGCTTGCTTCCTCTCTCCTCCCTCTTTCCTTCTTACTTCCCTCTTTTTCTCCTTCCTTCCCCTCCGGCACTTTCTTCCTTCTGTCCTTCCTTCCTTCTTCCTTCCTGTGTTTAGTCCTTCCTTCCTTGTTATGATTATGGTTTTCTCTTTCCGTCCTTCCTTCTTTCCCACTTTCCTTCCTCCTTCCCTTTCTTCCTTATTATTATTTTACTTACTTACTTACTTCCTCTCTCCTCCCTCTTTCCTTCTCACTTCCCTCTTTTTCTCCTTCCTTCCCCTCCTACCCTTTCTTCCTTATTTCTTCCTTCCTGTGTTTAGTCCTTCCTTCCTTGTTATGATTATGGTTTTCTCCTTCCTTCCTTCCTTCCTTCCTTCCCACTTAATGTTTTCCTCACTCCTTCCCTTATTATGTTTTCTCCTTCCTTCCTTCCTTCCTTCCTTCCTTCCCTCCTTCCTTCCTTCCTTCTTTCTTTCCTTCCTCCTTCCCTTTCTTCCTTATTATTATTCTATTTCCTTCCTTGCTTGCTTGCTTCCTCTCTCCTCCCTCTTTCCTTCTTACTTCCCTCTTTTTCTCCTTCCTTCCCCTCCGGCCCTTTCTTCCTTCCGTCCTTCCTTCCTTCTTCCTTCCTGTGTTTAGTCCTTCCTTCCTTGTTATGATTATGGTTTTCTCCTTCCGTCCTTCCTTCCTTCCCACTTTCCTTCCTCCTTCCCTTTCTTCCTTATTATTATTTTACTTACTTACTTACTTCCTCTCTCCCTCTTTCCTTCTCACTTCCCTCTTTTTCTCCTTCCTTCCCCTCCTACCCTTTCTTCCTTATTTCTTCCTTCCTGAGTTTAGTCCTTCCTTCCTTGTTATGATTATGGTTTTCTCCTTCCTCCCTCCCTCCCTTCCTTCCCACTTAATTTTTACCTCACTCCTTCCCTTATTATGTTTTCCCACTTTCTTTCCTTCCTCCTTCCCTTTCTTCCTTGCTTGCTTCCTTCCTCTCTCCTCCCTCTTTTCTTCTTACTTCCCTCTTTCTCTCCTTCCTTCCCCTCCTGCACTTCCTTCCTTCCTTCTTCCTTCCTGTGTTTAGTCCTTCCTTCCTTGTTATGATTATGGTTTTCTCCTTCCTTCCTTCCTTCCTTCCCACTTTCCTTTCCTTCCTCCTTCCCTTTCTTCCTTATTATTATTTTACTTCCTTCCTCCCTCCCTCCCTTCCCACTTAAATTTTCCTCATTCCTTCCCTTATTATGTTTTCTCCTTTCTTTCCTTCCTTCTTTCCTTCCTGGATTGAGGAAATGCTCCCCCTGGACAGTTTCCTATTTCCTCCTTCATTCCTGCGGCGTGTTTTTGGCCTGCCTGCTCCGGGGCCCCTCTTCCCCCAGGCCTCCCTCCCTCCTCCTCCTCTCCTCCTCTTTTCCCCTCTTTTCTTCTTCTTCTCCTCCCCCTTTTCCTCCTCTGACAGATTGGAAGCGGAAAGGAAGAGCCTCCGCTTCCAAGCTGTTGGCCTGAAAAGGAGGGAGGGAGGGGAGAAGAGGGGAAGGAGAAAGGGAGGGAGAGAAGGAGAGAAAGAAAGGACCCGAAAACACGAGGGGAAAGAAACGGGGCCTCCGGTCCTTCCTCTCTTCCTCCCGAACTTTCTCCTTCCCTCCTTTCTTTCCTTTCTCTTCTCTTCCTCTTTTTCCTTTTCTCCTTTTATCCCTTCCTCCTACCCTTCTTTTTCTTTCCTCAATCCCTTCCTTTTTTTCTTCCCTTTCCTTTCTTGCCCTCCTCCTGTCTTCTTCCATCCTTCTTTTCCTTTCTTCCTTTCTCCTCCCATCTTTCCTGTCTTCTTCCCTCCTTTCCGTCCTTTCTTCCCTCCCTTCCTACTTTCTCTTCCTCCCCTTCTTCCTCTCCTTTCTTGCCCTTCCTTCCGCTTTTCCCTTGCCTTCTTTCCCCCTTTCTCTTCTTCCCCTCCTTCTGTTTTCCTCCCTCCCTTCTTTTATCCCCTCCCTCCTTTCTTCTGGCCCTTCCTCTTTTTTCTTTCCCCCCTTCACTCCTTACTTTCTTCCATTCTCCTTTCTTTCACCCCTTCCTTTTTCCCTTTTCTCATTCCCCCCTTCTGTCTCCTTTCTTCCTTTGCTTCCTCTTTCCCCTTTTCTCCTTTCTTTCATTTCTTTTCCCCTTCCTTCCTTCGTTCTTTTTTCTTTCCTCCCTTCTCTTATCTTCTTTCCCTCCTTTCTTCTTCCCTCTCTGGCTCACTCCTTTTCTCCCCTCCTCTCCTTCTCCCTTCCCTTCCTCTTTTTCCTTTCCTCCTTTATTTTCTTTACTTTCTTTCCTCTTTCCCTCCTACTTTCTTCCATCCTATTTTCCCTTTCCTCCTTTCTCCCATTTTGTCCTTCCTTCCTTCTTTTCCTCGTTTCCTCCCTTCTTTCTTCTCTCCTTCCTCCTTCTTTTATCCCCTTCCTTCCCTTTTTCCTTTTTCCCTTTCCTCCTTTCCTCCCTTTTTCCTTCCCTTCTTCTTTCCCTCCTTCTTTTCCTCCCTCCCCTCCTCTTCCCTTCTTTTCTTTCCTTCTTTCCCTCTTTCTCTTGCTTCCCTCCCCTCCCTCTATTCTTCCCTTATTTCTTTTCCCATTACCCTCTTTCCCTCCTCTTTTCTTCCTCTTTCCCCATTCCCCCTTTCCGTACTTACTTTCTTCCCTTGTTTTCTCTTTTCCCTCTCCTCTTTCCTTCCCTCCTTTCTTCTTTGCTCTCTTGCCTCCTTTTCCCTTCCTCCTTTCTCTTCCTTACTTTCTTCCCTCCTCCTTTCCTCCATCCCTTCCTTCTTTTCCCTCCTTTCCATCCCTTCTTTCTTTCTCTCTCTCCTTCCTTGCCCTTCCTTTCTACTTCCTTCCTCTTTTTTCTCAGCCTTCTTTCCCCCTTTTCTTCTTTCTCTTCCTTTCCTCTCTTTCCTCCTTTTTCTCTCCTTCTTCATTCCGTCCTTTTTCCTCCTCCTTTTCTCCATCCCTTCCTTCTTTTCTTTCCATCCCTCCTTTCTTTCCCTTCTTTCTTTCTCTCCTTTCTTGCCCTTCCTTTCTACTTCCTTCCTCTTTTATCTCTGCCTTCGTTCCCCCTTTTCTTCTTTCTCTTCCCTCCTTCTCCTTTCCTCCTTTTTCCTTCCTCCTTTCTTCCATTCTGTCCTTTTTCCATCCTTCCTTTCTTTCCCTTCCTCGATGGGCCGAAAATAAAACCCGGCTTCAACCCCTTCCTTTCGGATCCAGAGGAAGACAAGGCTGGAAAAGGTAAGAATGGGAAAGAGAAAAAGAAAGAAAGAAAGAAAGAAAGAAAGAAAGAAAGAAAGAAAGAAAGAAAGAAAGAAAGAAAGAGGGGGAAGGAGGAATGTATTTGCATCTAATGCTTTTCTCACCCAACTTCTTCCCAGCGGATGGCATCCTCCAAAGGGCTTGTTTATCGACTAATTAATCCGCTTTCCCGACTAATTAATCCACTTC